AATTCATATCTAAGTGATCATACACATGTTGAGTCATGGTCAACAAATAGGACTATTTATTTACAAACTTTTATCTACAACAAAAATCAAACCTTTTTTTTATTTTTTTAATAAAATCTGTTCTTTTTCGAGAAACACAAAACCATGAGTTGTTCGACGATGGGTATGCAAGCTGAGCTTTTCTTGACATGCACTATATGTGTCCTCCTATTCCTCTTGCCATTCTTTGAATGTATCCAACTTTGAAAAAAATTGCAATTCTGGTTAAATATTCTATTGGCTTTCAGAGGACAGATAAGATTTTGCATCTGATTTTTATGGCATCTTTATTAATTATTTAGGTTCCCGATGTTCTAAATGCATTGATTATCTATGTTCATCAAAGAAAAACACACAAATTAAAATATATGAATCTGTTTAAATAGTAAATTATTCCATATTACATCTAATATTTATTGTTTTTCTTAACTACTAATGTGAATAAAATTCTAATTTGGACATGCGTCGATATCTGCGAAAAAATATCTTTTTTTTTAAAGAAATATGATGCTTCACCGTTTTCATTTGCATATCTTCTATATTTATTCATAACTGATGCAAATCTGATTCTAGAATCTAAGAAAATAAAGGTTCATAAAAATATGTTGTCGAAATCATTAAATGAAAAATTGTTCTTCTAATTAAATATTTTGTAACAAATTTGAATTGATCCGACAATTTATCACTGAGAAACGAAACGAATAGTATACTTGCATAGGGTCGAATCAATGTAATTTCCAATCTATGACATCTATACCTGTTTTGCAAGACAAAAATCACTATGATTGTGATCAAAGAACAAAGCAATACTTATTGAAAAAGATAGGATACGCCAAGCTCTCAAACACATAAAGTAAATGCAATTATAGGTCACTATCATATTTCAGTCTATCAAAATGTACCAGAATAAAGGACTTGATATTCACATATCGACTGAAATCACATATTCCATGTGTCATGATTTATGATATACACTGCATCAATTTTATACGAACAGGAACTTCATGATTGGTACGTTGACCTATGCGAATGATAGTTAAGTCATCCTGTTGCAAGCCTATTAGGCTGGTAACAAATTATTCCATTTTCATCTTGAAATATCAATTATCCAACAAACAGGGTATAGATATTGCGGTTCGTACTATAAAAGGTGTAAGTGTAGACGTTATGCGCTGTAGAGAGAACCTAATCTCATAGCCAGCTGAACTAAACAGATATCAATAATAAGAAAATGTAAGAAGGCATATGATGTATATACCTGCAATATCCTTGAGCATAGCATGATCAGAGTTGACAGATAAAAAGCAAGATGGGAATTTCATCTGGTCTATGGAATGGTCTCCTCAGCAGATTTTCGTCTCGATCACTACTCCCATTTAAATCTTCTAAATGGAATTGTTAGAATCACAAGGAACTCTAGCAAATATGAGCGAAATCAAAAGTAACCTCTCTAGTGAATCTTCTGAGTTCACTAGAGAGGTGCGTACCAAGATAGTTTTCAATATTGTACCGAAAGCGGTGCCCAGATACCTGCATATAACAGCATCTTGGTCAGATGTCATGTTGAGAATTATCTCAGTACAAGGGCTCCGCTCAGGATGAAGAATCTCGCAGTCGGATCTCGTCGGACTCCATAGAATGTCTCGAAGAATCCAAGAACCCTTGATGGAATATCGATAGTCAGATATGGCCGGGTAGTTTGAGTATGCGATGGGATCCATTCAGGTGATTTGAATCTCAATTCGTCATAATAAAAAGTGTATTAGTAAAATGCGCTCTAACCCACTTCAACCATCGTTTAACTCGAAGTTAATATAGATCGATAGAGCTTCGAATTCTACATTTATAGGATTTCACTCCAAGCTATTTGCTTTACAAAAACCTTTGATAAAAAAATCAAATATAATTTTGAACGTTCCACTTCAACCTACTCTAACCCACTCTATCCCATCCTTACTCAAATCTCAAGAAGAAAGTAATTTTCGCCAAGAAAACAGTTATTGAAGTCACTGTTCTATATATCTGAACTTATTCAACTTATGATTATGTCTATCGCTGTTCTTCAATGAGTCCTTCATCCTCTGTTCTCGGAACTATCTTTCCATATACATGATTGAAGAAATGAATATTATACATGCGCTGCTACACAATGAGCTGTTTCTTTTATTATTGTTTTCTTTTTCTGTTTTTATTTCCAATTACTATAGTTCTCAGGCACAACGGTCTGTAATAGATACAAGCAATACTTTTAACATTACTGGATCAGCTGGGCGCAGGTCAGGTAGAACAAGCGCACGAAGCACGATATCGACTCTGCGAAAAAAATACTGTTCTCACATCTATTAAACTATAACAATCAAACAGTGATGTGCAACAAGTAAAGATACATTTTCATTCATACTCTTGTACTAATAAGACACTTTTCATGTGCAAGAGAACATAGAACAAATTACAAAACAGAAAAATAAAACAATAATAAAAGAAACATAGCTCATTGTGTAGCAGCGCATGTATGATATTCATTTCTTTAATCGTGTATATGGAAAGATAGTTCCAAGAAAAGAGGATGAAGAACTCATTGAAGAACAACGAGAGAAGTAATCATAAGTTGAATAAGTTCAGATATATAGAACAGTGACTTCAATAACTGTTTTCTTGGCGAAAATTACTTTCTTCTTGAGATATGAGTAAGGATGGCATAGAGTGGGTTAGAATAGGTTGGAGTGGAACGATCAAAATTATAATTGATTTTTTTTATCAAAGATTTTTGTAAAGCAAATAGCTTGGAGTGGAGTCTTATGAATGTAGAATTCGAAGCTCTATCGATCGATATTAACTTCGAGTTAAACGATGGTTGAAGTGGGTTAGAACGTATTTAACTAATACCCTAATAAAACAGAATTGATTCATTTGTATGAATAAATACTTATTGTTCAGTTTGATGATAAAAGCGATATAAATAAAGAAAAAACAATCCTTTTCATGAGAAAAAAAAAGACACAGATGTGAGAAGTCAAAATAGTGTAAGGTGCACAAAAAACACACGCACATAAACTAAGAAAAACACAAAAATAAAAAGATTCATCTCGATTCATATATTAATTAGGGAAACCGACTGATAAGTGTTATATGTGTTCACTATCATATGTCTTTAGAAAAAAAAAGTATTTTCTGTTATGTGTCTAGATGCGTATTGCACCGTATCGTATAGTTCCTTCAAGATTGCCACTACACCCATGGGCCAATGCCTTCTCCCCTGCTTTTCTAAAAACTTAATATTTGCTTTATTTTTATTATCAAATTAATCTATGACATAAATACAGCTCTAAACAATAATCCTTCTTTATTCTCTTGCCTCTTTGTTGATTCGGATGAGCCAACCTTATGCAACAATGGTTAATGTTTCAAATGTGGATCAATATCGAGAATAATTTTTTTATCATACTTTCGTAAGACTTAAAACATGCTACTATCTCTATCACAACGTTATGAGATTGTGTTTCTCAAGCTACATCCTCTGGGTCCTAAAATGTCAAAAAAACTATTTCAAAGTACATTGCGTGTGAACCAAAAGCCGTACGTCATTGGCTTGCCATATGGCAACAAAATGAGGGCCTGTCGAATTTGCCAAAGACTAGACGACCACGTGTCACATCGAAGACAACAGATAAAAAGATTGTTAATATTATGAAACGTGATCTGAACGTTACATCAAACGACATTTCACGAACTCTAAAAGACGACGGTTTGGATATAGATCCAAGTACAATTAAACGTCGATTACGTGAAAGTAGAGAAAGTTATGGTCCACCTTTAAAAAAGTCTTTACTCATAGACAAACATCGGGAGACAAGGCTCATCTGGGCTCGATAGCACGAAAACTTCAATTGGGACAACGTAATTTTTTACCGATGGGAAGACTTTCAAACTTGGTAACAGCGGAAGAAAAGTTTTGTGGTTTCCAGGTATCACAAAAATTGTTCGCACAGTTAAATATCCTCTTAAGTTGTACGTCTGGGGATGTGTTTCAAAACAAGATTTCGGTCAATTAATTACTTTGAGACATAATTTGACAGGAGACTTTATGTGCCACACATATGAGAATGGTCTTCTCCTACTGGTCATCGTCAATTTCCTGAAGTTCCAGCTATCTGGTTCCTCCAAGAAGACAACGATTCTAAACACAGATCCTGTCTAGCAATTGATTGAAAGACCGACAATAGAATTCAGGTTCTGCCTTGGCCCTCTTCGTCACAGATCAAAGTCGAATTAAAAACATTTGGTCAATGATCAAGGATGCAATAAGTAAAAAAAAGTTCAAACAATTCAAAAGCTCGAGCAAGAAATAAGAAAGACATGGAAAGCACTCTCAATTGACTTGGCTGTCAAATTGGTCGATAGTATGGGAAGGCGGGTGCAGTGCTTGATTGAAGCCGATAGTAACAACACATCATATTAAAATAAAATGTCTTTGTTATACATTAGTTCAATAATAAAAAGAAAGCAAATATTTAAAATATATAGGAAAAAAGAGGGGGAGGGGAAACAAGACTTTTGCCGACGGGTTTATTTCTATTGTTGTTGATGAAAATTATGATTCTGATGGTAGTTCTATATTTTTTTTTAAAGTATACGCAATGAACTTCGAGATAGGTGAGATACGACATAGATAAGAACAGAAAAAAAGAATGAAAAGAACAAGACTCTTTTCTTCTTCTTTTTGTGAAGAACAACGTAAACATGTCGAAAATTACATACAATATGGGGGTTGGGGTTAAAAAACATTTTTGTTTTGCACAAAAAATCCGCAATGCTATCTGAATATGTGTTTCTTTATATATCGACGTAGATTTGTTTTTTTCTTTATTCATTCTTATTTATTTTCTCAATATATTAAGTTTAATGTAAGATGAATTTTATTTTAGAAGATCGACCTCAAAATAATACATTTAAAGCCATTTATGTCAATCAAAACTAAAAAATCCAAAATACTTCCTCACGAATGTCGAATATGTGGTGTTCCTGCTGAGTATGCTTATTTTGGTGTTATTTCATGTCATGCATGCAAAATGTTCTTTAAACGAAATGGCAATGCTGGACAGGTTAGATGGATCTTCTCTTCTTATTCAATTCTCATGTTAATTCATTTAGGCAACATTTGTATGTAGTTTCGATGGTCAATGTGACATTAATATAAATAATCGTCATATATGTTCCGTATGTCGACTTGCTAAATGTTTTAAATGTGGAATGAATACTGACAAACCTCAAGCATCAAGACAGACTAAATCAAAAACAAACGCTTTAGTTAAAGTACATCAACCAACAAGGGTAAGACTATTAAAATAAATTGACAGAAATAAAATTACTGATGAGAAATTTATTTTCATTTCTTCAATGTCAATTTGACCATCAAGGGGCTCATTCAGAACATCTATTTTTTCCAAAAAACATCGAAGTTGAGTTTTCTGTCATAGGAAGATGCAGCGAAGTTTTCTCTCTCAGAATATATATGACTTTTCGAAAACAGACCAAATTTTATCAGACTTGCGAAAGAAATTTCGACACTTAATACGGTGTTTTTCGAGACATTTTGGTGGGTTTTTTTCAAGTTCTTTAGCTTTGGGAAGACTGCCTTTTGGCTTGCATCAGCATTGAATAAACATTCTTCTATAATTTAAGCACAACAGATAATGCTGGCTTATGTCATCTGTTACGTGCTTTTAAAAATTCCATTTAAATATATTATGAATATGCCATTTTAATGTTGTTTTTACTGCTGGATTTGTATGAAAAAAATTCATGTCCAAACATATTTCCCATTTTTCTCAGAATATGGTTTTTAATGAGAAAAATTGAAATAACTCCCATGCGGTTCAAGATATAATTCAATAGTTTTCTTTTTGGTTTAAAAGTCTAAATAAGAGTGAACTTTTATCCAATCAAAGTTTTTATTGTTGATTTTTGTGTTGAGAAAAACCGAGATTCAGTGTCATGAAGTGACATTTTCGTTTTTGCTTATTTTAACACCATATGTACTAACACGATCATAAAAAATCTATGGAAGCGAATTTCAAAATTTTGTTGAACAATAACTGAGCAAGGGTATTAGCTTTAATTTGAAACCATCCCGGGCTCTGTATCTTTTGTAATGACGAAGTTATAAAAATTCTCCTCAAGGCCATAAATTGACTATAATAAGTCATAAGTTCATTCTAGTTTGATGTATCGGACTGAAATTTTTATCAGAAGCTTTTCTCACTAGGACAAATGATTCTTGAAAATTTCAGCCCAAATGGACTATCCTCAGTGGAAAACCTATTGTAAGCGGTGGGCCCTTAGGAAACATCTCACGATATTGAAACAATAATTTCTAATATTCATTTATTATATACAATCGTTCTTCGACTAAACTATTTCAAATCTTATCAATTTAATTAGTTTTGTTAGATTTTCTTTGTTTATATCTCTGTAAAATTTTTTAAAGACTTATCTTATTATATAGCTGAATACCTGGTTAAAGAGTAGGTGATAAAATTGTTACGAATAATTGTTTTACAAATAACATATTTTTATTTATTTATTAATCAGCTTCCTACATTAAATCTATTACAATCAGATCAGTCATTATTGACTAAAAATCAATGGATACTTCTCACAAATTTATTCAATTGTTATAAAGAATCTCAGGTTTTACCGTTCACTCAACGTTTAAGAGAGACACATTATACTTTACAATCCAATTATGTGATTTACAAAGCAATTGCAGAAGAATTCTTAATATCTCTTTACAAAACAACAGGGGCATATCTTTGTTCCAATGATGATCTTCGTAAATTATCATCTAATGATCGTTCCGTAATACTTCATAGTGCTGCTGACAATGTATGCTGCATAAGTAGTACATTCATTATGCAGTATTATCATTTATATGATCTCGATGCTTTCTTGAACGCTATTAGCATAAAGTATGGAATGCATGCAATGGATATTCATGCTCGGGCAAGGAAATTCATTGATCCAGATATTGTATTGGCCAAACTATCAATTTCATTGTTCGCTTTCTCTGAAAATACTTGTTATTATTATTCAAATGTCTCGAACGACTTAACAAATCCTATTAATATTTTAAAGATTCAAAATAAATATGCAGAAATAACATGGAAATATCTTCTCTACAAATATGGTTACTATAACGCTGTGAAACGATATCTTAATATAACTCTTTGGCTTGCTTCTATGAGTATTTTAACATTTCATGCTCAAACTCTGATGGTACATATTAATGATATTTACTCAATAATTGAACAAACTGAACTGGCACTTATATTAGATGATGTTGATCAGATAATTGAAACCAATCAGTAGCAATCTTTTTTTCAGATGTTTAATATCAGTTATATTTTATTTGACAGTCATAATTAAAATTTATTTTAGCAAAATAAAGATATGTACAAACCACTTTAAAAAAGTGATCCAAAAGTATATATATATATTTGAAATAAAACTATTCAGTTTATATTAGATGTAATCATCCAAAATGTATTGATCAATCTCATTGGGATTAATTGTATTTAATGACCTAGAACACTTAGCATGATTGATCATTTTTGAAAAGAAAAACATTAGATTATACTGAGACTTTATTAACACTGAAAACAGCTAAAACATGTGAATCTTTTTTTAATAGAAATAATCTAGTGTTGTTGCGTTGAAGTTGATAGAAGGAAATTGAACATTTGTAAAAAAAAAAAGGAAATCATTAATTTTTTTTTAAAAGATAATAAGACTGATAGAAGTTAGTGCAGAGAAAGATTGCAAACTAGAAAATTAAGAAAGTTGATAACTTACTAGGAATTATTTTATGAGTCAAAATAAGCTGTTATGTACAAAAATATTATTGTAACATGAGTCTAACATCCATGCCGACCAATCTGATACTGTCAAGAAAATAATTTGAAATTTTTCAAAATCTCATTTCTCCCTGTTCGAAAAATGATTACAATTAACTCTTTTAATGTGACGACAGACTTTGCGCGACGATGATTACAAAAAAACATTTTGATTTGAAGTGTTAATAAATGAAAGTAAAGAGAAAGAGCAACAAAAACAACTTTTTCTGGTTATATCTTTTACTAAAACAAAGAAATTCCTGATATAGAGTGAAGTGGAAAAAACTAAGTGATACACAACACTAACTTTTCTACTCATACGGCATATGTATTGATACAACTTTCAAGCCGCTATACTAGAAATTTTATTCTAATCTATCTGATGCGAATAGTGAAACCATTGCAAAACTAGGACAACTTGTCAATGATGTTAAAATATTTACTTCTCCTGATCATTGTTTGATGTATATATTGATTTTGTCTTGTATTTATGAATTAGCTCAAATCAATTTCATTTATATTCTCATTGAAGAGACTCCAAATGAGGAACAATGAATAGAACCAATGAAAACAATTGAAAAAAATGGCTATACACACATGAAGGACATATGTGAACGAATTCATCGGCATATTCTCAGATCTGAACATGATTTAATACAGTTCGATGTTGTTCAAAAGACAGTTCAAGGTCATAATAATAAACAAGAAGTATCGATTCAGAAAACTGTCGAAACTGAATTCTTGAAAGCATACAAAATCTATATGAATGATTTTGACTTGGTGTTACTTCAAGAGTCAATTTGAATGTATCAAATTTGAGGATCGTTAGAAGTAAGACTACTATTTTTAGAGCTAGTCGTGAAAGAATTTCTTGAAAGATTAATCCTAAATTTTTATATTTACTTGTCTGTTCCCAACGAAACTGAAGAGTTCATACTATAAATAGTACAACAAGATAAAAAAGAAGCACAAATGAAGAAATCGCTAAATTTTTATTGAATTCAATTTATGTGTATATTGTGTTTCAGATATTCAAAGCCCTATACAAGTTATCGAAAAATTCTGATTTTAGAAAATAGAACCACGATTAGTAAAAAGGCTTGTATCGGATTTATAAATAAAAATAGTCAGTTTGCAAATATCATTGTTTTCTTTCACGCGCTTTCTTTCTTAGTCCATGACTAGTCATTTGTTTTTCATATATTTTCTTATAAAAAATTTTCAAAATAAGTTGCTTTACTTAATGGTAATCAAGAAAAGTTTACATTACAAGAGAACAAATGCATAAAAAAGATATCTTTCACTTCATAAAAATAGCAGAAGGAAAGAAAAAATCCCATACCGTTACATTGTGTAAAATCATGAAACTGTGATATTTCTCTTTCCTAGAATAAACCAGCACAATGTTTAGCCAACATTATTTCCTACGATTACATGACTATTAAAGTATATATTTCGAAAAAGATTCAGCATATTTATTATATATTGAGTTGATGTTACTACTAATACTTTGCCACTAGAACTAAAATATGATTATTCACTGCATTAATTAATCAAGAAGACAATTCCATCGTTCACCTATTGTGAGTATATACATATACTGTCGTAGCATATGATTAGATCTCTATAATTGCAGGGTGTGGATGTGGGTTTGGGTGTTGAGAACAGGGAATATTCACATCCATACCCCATACTCACATCCACACCTTATTTCTCAGCTCGAGAACATTGCTGAGACACTTGGAACTAGTGATCTTCGTGGCATTTTTTTAAAATTTTCTTCCTGCTTTAGTCTTCAGAGATAGTCTTCATCAAAAATTTTTTCCGGAAAAAAGTCAAGATAGTGGCTAGCTCTACATGTGAGCTTTCAAACGAAAAAGAATTTGAGTTCATCCTTTAATATAATAGTATGCCATTGGCGATGCGTCATCAATCTCACACTTTGATAAAACGTAAAACAAGTTTTTAAAATATTTTTTACAATTGTAAAATTTACACTGATACAAGCACAGGCACATATTGTATTAGTTAACAGTATCCATAAAACTTGATCAAATAGTGTTTAATGTGCCACATAACAATAGATATATCGCCATCTATTTTGTTCTATCCTTGTTATTGAATTTTAAGTTTATGAATATAAAATAGAATGATCGACTGAATTTTTCGGATAAAGATTGAGAGGACACAACTCACTAATTCACAATCTTCTCAGAAGTTGATCAGCACAAACAGGTCTTTCTTTCCTTAGCCAAATTAACTTTGAGGTTATGGGTATGAATTTGACATTTCGGAGTAATTTATTAGTGCCTTATACGACGCTAAATTGCAACAGCTTTCACAAAATATAAAACATATTCTGGGATAGCATACTCTTCAATGGCTAGAGCCAAAAGATTAGAAATCTTCACTTTCGACAACGGCAATTTTTGAGCCTATATTGGGATTATCATTTAATGAATACTATTGTACAACATAATGAACTAGCCAATTTTGCAGAAAAAAACATTTTGTATCCTTTAAGACGACTCTGAACTCGAACGAATGAGCGAAGGGAGAGAAAAGTACAAAATACTAAAGGATCCATTAAAAAAAATGATTTTTGTGATAAAGTGCTGAGGAGTGTATAACTTGTATACATCGAGATTTTTTACAGGAACGTCAGAAAGAGGTAGTATGTTGGATCTGAAGTATTCTAATGATGGTCTATCGTTTAAGACAATTAAATCCAAGATCAAAATTTTAGCGGTGGCCGAGATCCTGTCACAGACCCTCTTTCATATAATGTATATTATACTTTATAGAGGCAAAATAAAAGTATGCATAACTTTTGAAGGAAGTGTTATGCACTCGAATCCTTTTAGGGCATTTACTAGGGTACTATGTGGTATCTATGGGCAAAAATTCATTGAAATCTGAGGGAGACACCTAGGGAGGTTCCCTGGTTAGTTACATTATGCTGATAGTTCAATGCTCATCTCTTGATTAACTAAACACGATGTATAGCATTGGCCAAAAAAGGAAGCAAAGGCATTGTCAATAAATTGAGGCTAATTAAAATAATGAATAAGTATGAGATGGACTTAGCACTGTAAATGAAGGAGACTAATAGCTAACAATCATTTATCAATCGATCGTCGAAAAGAAAAATCTATCTTTGGAATCGATTTCATATCTTTCTGTATCGTATAAATTACTTACCGCAACGAAATCAACAGAATCTAATGTATGGAGAAAATGCTGTGTCACAGACCTTTTGATTTTACTTGATGCTGTGTATGTAACGCCGTTTGCTTGTTTTGTCTAATGATTCCTTTTTTTACCTTTGTATCAAGTCAACTTTATTCGTTTTTTACCTATCATTATTTTGCGTAGTTTTCTTCCTGTTTTTTGATATTTTTTTCTTGGCAATTGCAGACTGTATTGCGAACGAGTCTACATACGATGCGCACAGAAATTTGCATACCATGATACATATGCAAAAAATCAGATGCTTCAGCGACTTGCGCACACTGACTCTTGCACATGAAATAGAAAAAAAACATATATCTGAAAAGATATTGAAAAGCAAAACGAAGCAGAAAAAAATCAAGTTGGTTTTTATTTCGAAATACGGAATATGATATTTCCATGTAACTGTGAATAAAAAGCCTCGAAACAAAAAATTTGGATTATTAGTCTCATATACAGTTTATATCGAGTTATTACCATCGTACACACCTATCTTCATATACTCCGAACTTTTTATTCTTGAAAAAAATCTAGTTTGAATGATATTAAAACATCAAAAGAATTGCATGCTTGGTAACGACAATATATAATTTGATGTATACGACAAATACACAATCGCTTACAAATTAATACTTTAATATATACTCAAGAAGATCTGTTTGCACAAAGTGCATGAATTGCAAAGAATACAATAGAAGTATTATAATACAAGGGTCTAAAACAATTGTCAAACGTGTCAGTCTAAGAATGATATTGACACTGATAGTGGTTGATGTTTTTCGATAGGCCCTGCTAGACCATTTCAGATCATAAGAAAAAAATCAAGGAGAGTGCGGAAATGAGTATAAGCCTTATAGTCAGTTTTTCTATCATCCAACGACACACGATATCCGCAGTCACAACTGTAACCCACATTCATGCATCCATACTGACGTCCTCCTATTGAAAGACATAGTCATACAAATTAGCACGTCAGCGCTCAATCAGCACTGCCTGTATGAAAAGAGTACAGATCAAAATTTCAGCATAAAACATAAACCCTTGTTAGCGAAAGTTGTAGAAAATAAAACATCGAGATAGTTCTATGAAGTGCAGAATCTGCATAAATGTTATTACACCCATGTACAGTAAATAATTACTAAAGAATAAGACTAATCTGTTTTTTGAACAACATCAAAACACTCGTCCAATCTTTCAGTGAAATAAAGCTGATAATGTGAAAACGATAATGCATGGATGTGATGT